GCCCCCCCCCCCCCCCCCCCCATTACTTCGTTTTAGCTCCTCTTCGACTGAGCTGAGGTGCAAGGGAGCTTCGATGCTCACATATCTGCTAGGCGCGAATGTACAGACTCCTCTCTTGCACTTTGGCGGAGCTAAGGCTCGAACTGCTCAAACTGGAGTTCTTTTTGGGTGTTTTTTCTGACGTCTGGCGAAGTATGAATGAGCGAATGTTTAAGGGGCAGTATAATTTGCGGGCAAATACCCAAAGGAGGTCTAATTCTTTGTTTATAACTAAATATCCTGCTTTAAAGATTGCTTCGTTCGCTCCGCTTTTCTTTCATCAGAGAAGAGAAATTATTTCTGAACGTTTTAGCCTTGAGACAATGACACACTGTGATTATTTTAGACGGCATTTGTCTGATCACGGTCTAATATCCTGTGGGCTCTGTGCCTTAAACCCTTTAAAGCCGAAACTCGTCTAATTGGTATTTGAGAATTCAGTCCGTACCGCACAGAAAAAAAATCACGTCTCCATAACAACGATCAGTTGATTAATTCTGTTCAAAAATTAATCGTTATTTACCCTGAAATCTAACGAAACGCATAGATGTCTTCTGTGTGGAAGGCGAAGATTTATTTACTCTTAAACGAGGTGGTACGTATAGTTACCACTGAGATTTAAAGGGTGAGACTATTTCGGATAGGATTATTTAAGTAACATAATCCGTAGAGCTTAGCCTTTCAAACGTTTAAGGTATCTCGCGCAGTTTATGAAACCTGAAACCACTTTTCCGCATTTTCAGTAATTCGTATATACATTTCAAGTAGACCTGTGCATTCGATACACTCCTTGCTCACAACCGAGTCGCATTTGTAGTGGAGAATGAATGAGGAACTAGGATAAACGCTCTTAATTGGAAGGAAAGGTGGTTCCTCTTCTGTCTGTCTGCTTGTAGTGCATTAAATTTGCGAACAGCTAACACTACACCGAGAACAGACCGTTCTCTGTCCGCTGCGGCTAGCAGCTGCCACAGAGAATCTGTCTCTTGAACTAACTCATTGACTGATGTGAAATGCACAGTAAGGGTCCAGGACCATCGACACCCTGTGGGCACTTCCCCTCCGTCAAGTTCCGGCGCCCCGTGGACATAATCCACCGACTAGTGTCAACACATTCTGTCAGCTCGGATGACTGCCTGACACTGGAGTACCCTAAAACTACCCTAAACAGGAGGATTACTACAAGTAGCAGCGTCCTTTGTGTTTTTTTATTGACAGTGAAAATGTTTGGCTTCAATTTCTTCGCGAATAAACACGTGAAAGTTATCACAAAGCGCTCTTGGATTTTTCATGATGATGAAGTGTTGTGATTTCTTTGCGTAAGGACTGAGTTCTTCTCCTTATTTCATGGATTTAGGCCATCAGGAGAGCGAGTCTTCCCACCTTGTTAATGGGCTGAGTTCTTAATATTATTTATACGAGGTTCCTATTCATTGGGTTGTACACCCTTTAGCACTAATTGTGAGGATATTTTTCTCACATCTTAAGTAAACACAAATTCTGTATTATTTATATTCACTCGCGAACTTAAAGAAAAACCAAATTTGGAGCCTGTGACTGCTTCTTACCTGCACATGACTTCGTGCGTCAGCAGAACTCTGCACATCTCCGGGTTCTTGTCTTGTCCCTCGTACATGATTGCCTGCAGAACAGAAGAAAGAATTCACTCATTACTCGGCCTTACGAGGTTATTTGTTTGACAACGATGCATCGACTTCAGGAGCTGAGTAACAGGTGGTCGCATAATTCATAATCACTAATTTATAAGATGGTCGAAAACCATTTGTAAATAACTCAGTTTTAAAGTGTCAGTCGTACATACTTTATTATATTTGTTCATATCGCAAAGGAATTAGACTGGTGTGGATCCCAAATGGTCTGTGTCGTGTCTGACTTTTCAACTAGTTGAATTCAGGCCACACCCTCATACACTCAACTTTCTAGAAACTTATTCTATATTCCTCTTTCTTCGCTTGGTTATCAGAAGTAGGCTTTGTTCTTTCGAAGTTGCCAATTAATACGTTTCTTAAGGCCCCGTTAATAAATCACTGGAATACAATTATTCTTAGCAAGCTGGTAGTCACTCAGCTGGTGAAAAATATTCCGCCTCTTTATTAAAATTGTTTATTCCTAATTATGAAATGATCACCTTTTTTTAAAAAAAATAATTCCACTACGTATCGCCACAAGTGAGATTTCTTTACTTAAGAAACTCCCGTGATTGGATAACACTTATTTGCCTTGATGTTCAGACTTCGTGAAAGTAAATTCGAAGTTGAGGACCGCAGTCCGTCTGCGTGGAAGTGGTACACAGCGCATTCATTTGATTTCGGTGGGTAGAAATTCAAGTCGGAAAGTTCCCAGACATGTGTGATTATTTTTGCGTTCTTTATAACGCGTTCGTACAAAGCAGCATAAATCGTCCTGTGATGGGATTTAGATAGCGTTCAAGCCCTAAGTACATTTACGCAGAACATTTTGTGCGTCTAGATTGTAACGCAAAATCGCATTGTGCAGTGAAAGGGTTGCTGCTGCTGCTGCAGAGAGAATGCGAGATGAATGAGGAAGATGAGATAAGAGGCTGTCGAGTGTCACGTGACCTCCATTGCGCCAACGCTTCGGCCCCCTCAGTCCACCACCCTCTCCTCTCCTCTTAGCCCCACACCCCCCCGCGAGGCGATTGGGATACGAGATTTAATTTCCAAACAAACTTCAATTTAAACACGAACATGTGTCGTAGCTTCGAATATGATGCGTCGTTCTGTAACGATTTCAGAAATTTGTACTCAATGGAGTACACTTTTTTCGATTTTGTGTACTTCAGTGGCGTTATGTGTGTCTACTGCAGCAGAGAATATTTTCCTAAGATTATTCATTTATAAGACGTTTTGTGAATCCCCAGTAACGCACGTGTTCTTTTCAACCAATAAGAACAAGAAACCAATTCGCCCGACGCCGTTCATCGTAGACCGCCACTAACAAATTTAATCAAAATCCATTCAGCAGTTTCTTAGATGAGACGCCGACAGACGCAAGTACCATTTGTGTTCACATCAGGTAATTTGTGTGCTAAGATCATGTCTTCATTTACGAACTCATGTCAAATTTTTCATTTTAAAGCCACTCTAAGTGAGTTGATGCACGATTATATTCCGGACGCACAATTTTCGAAGCCGGCCTAGTATTCGTTTGTTCTGACAAGTTTCGACGTCTTTCTGTCCGTCCGCAATCCGCAGCGACGGAAGTAGGACCCAGTGCCTCATTGTACGCTGTATCGTTTTCAAT